TCGATTTTATAACTATAGCCAAAGGTGGTCAATGCTGTCGATTTTATGCTGTATGCATTTTTCCCACAATTTTGGTTGGCTCTGTTTCTGTTTTTATTTTTATTTAAAAAACAAATATGCCACTAGCCTGTGCCTCTTTTTCACAGATCCTGACTTTGTCTTCACTGGATCTCTGGCCACTCCCTCTTAATTCACGCATTCCTGTGAACCAAGGTTCCTGGAAAGAGGCTGTGTCTCTAAAGACTGCTTGACCTGTTCAAACTGCAAGCTGGAATGTAACAGGTTCAGAGGCTAATTACCTTGGTGTGAGCTAGCTTTTAGCTCCCGGAATAGCCATCCCTTGTCCACCTGTATGTCAGAACTACCTACCTGTGAGGAACAGGTAAAAAACCTTTTGAAATCTATGAGTTTAGCAGACACTAGCTTCCACCAACCATAAAGCTAAGAATGTCATCAGGTAGCATCTTGGGCCTATAGAAAGGCTTCCCCCATCTTGTTCTAACCACCTCTCTGATGTAACTACCAATATTATTTTAAGCTTGCCTTGACTTATGACTTTTGTTGTTCTGTAAAACTATAACTTCCCACATCTTACTGGTGACCAAATACTACTGTTCTATTCCTTGCTGTTCTCAAATCTGCCTCCTCTCCATTTCCATAACCTCGGCCACTGTGGTTACCCCTCGTCTGCCTGAGAGACTGCAACTTGGTGTCCCTTTATGCCAGGTCAGGAAGAAAAGAAGTTAGGAGCCTTTTAATGTGTAAGTAAATACAATCCATGTCCAGTTACCCTGCTTCAAAAGGATGCCTGTTCTCTCTGAGCCTCCTTAAAATAACGAGTCTAAGAACCCAGGCGAATGGGCCGGGTAGCATGATCACAAGCCACAGTCTCAGCAGCTGTCTCTGTTTCAGGGACAGGATCGGGAGAGTGTCATAATCTGCCACATACAGTGCTCAGAGTCAGTTTTTAACCAAGTACATGTGGTGAGTGTAAACTGCCCACAAATCTCTAAAACCCAGCTAGAAGGTAACTTCATCGAAGAATGCAATCCTGATCATCTGTGTGTGCTGGATGCTTTAGAGTTGCTCCTCCACGATACCCTCCTTGCTTCCACATGGTGTCTGTATCAAAAGCTTGGTTTCTTAGCTCCTCTGACCTCCTGGACTACCTGAAGTTAGCTGTGCTTCTTGTGCAAGATTTCTGCCTCTCTCAAAGCCCTTGCCTTTATTTAACGCTTTCCCTCCAAGACTTGGTAACTGATTCTTTCCTTGTCCCTTGGCCTACAACCGGTTGTATCTAGACTGCTACTATCCACTCCCTCTCCATCCCAGCTTAATGATGTGTGGCTCTCATTTATTTTTAAATAGTCCTATTTCATATGAACTTGACTTGACTTGCATCCTCTGCTTCATTTTAGGCACAGGCTAATACAGTCTCTACAACATCTCACCCTTATAAAACTCTGTATAAAACAGCATGCCCAAAGAAGTGAGGCTAGAATTCTTCTAATGGCCAATCCCCTCTATGCAGGAGTAATGATGATTAAAACAATAAAATTTATGGCGTGAATTTTAAATGCCTATTAACTCATTTATCATCCTAATAACCCAATGATTTAACAATTGTTAGTATTCTTATTCTTCAGACTATGAGCCAGAACTCAGAAAGATTAAGTATCTTTAAAAAAATTATAATAGTACACAATTGCTCTCTTCAGACACACCAGAAGAGGGCATCAGATACCATTATAGATGGTTGTGAGGGGCTGGAGAGATGGCTCAGCGGTTAAGAGCACTGACTGCTCTCTTCCAGAGGTCCTGAGTTCAATTCCCAGCAACCACATGGTGGCTCACAACCATCTGTAATGGGATCTGATGCCCTCTTTTGGTGTGTCTGAAGACAGCTACAGTGTACTTGTTTTATATATATATATATATATATATATATATACCATACATATAGATAGTTGTAAGCCACCAGCATGTGACTGCTGGGAATTGAACTCAGGACCTCTAAAAGAACAGTCAGTGTTCCTAACTGCTGAGCCACCTCTCTAGATCCAAGATTGAGTATCTTGATGAAGATAGTATGTGGTAGAGCTAGTATTTGAACCTAGGTTAATGAGACTCTGGGACCTTTATGTTTGCCTACAATGCAGTACCCACAGGTCTGGGGCTGTCAATCTTTGTACACACCATTGTACAGATGGCCTTTCTGAAGTGTGTATCTTGATAATGTTATTCTGTAAGAATCCTCGTGTCCTTATAGGTAAAATTCCCATTCTCCTCATGTGGTCGCTCTGGGCCTGCTCTACCTCTGTCTCCTTGCTTTCTGCCACATGGGCAGAACAATGACACCGTGTTCACCCCATCAAATGCTACCACAGCATCATGCTGCTTTATAATCTCATTTATATTTCAGCCCATAAACCTTAGAGTCATATTTCAGTTTTCTCTCTTGGAACTGCATGTCTAATCCCTCAACCAATGCTGTGGTTTTCTCCTACAAGATGATGTATCCAGATCCTGATCTCACTGCCTCCTCAGCCGCTGTACTCATCCAGACTGTACCAGTTGTCAGCTGAATCGTGACAGCCTCTTCACCAGTCTCCTGTTTTCTGCTCAGTTAGTGAAGTCTTGACAAAGCATCCGTAATACTAAGG